TCCATTTGTATCCCAACAATAATTTCAGAATGTGTCCTGATAGTAGTTTCAACAACCTCGCAGTAAGCTTAGTTGCTATAACACCTCCTAGACCAGGTTTTGAGAATCAATATGAATTCTGCCTAACCAACACGGGCACACAAGCAATTGGCGGGACGCTTACTTTTGATTATTCTAATTTCCCTGGGAGTCAGTATATGGAAATAACCGATATTGAGGGCGGAAGCGGCGTGCAGAACAACGCTACAGTGACATTTACCTTCTCCAGCTTGGCTGCTTTTGACCAAAGGTGTTTTATCATAACTGTGCTTATGTCGCCACAAACTCCATTAGGCATCGTGTTGCAACCTTCGGTTACTGTTTCTCCGACCGGAGCAAATACCTTGGAAAATAACTACACCGACAATACTAGCACTCTAAATGAAGTCGTAGTAGGTAGCTTCGACCCAAACGATAAACAGGTTGATAAGCCTATTTTGGTATATGACCCAACGAGTGGCGTTGAAAAACTGATTTACACTATTCGCTTTCAAAATTCGGGAACATTTTCACCCGATTTTATCGTATTGCTAGACACCATTGAAGAGAAATTGGATATCCGTTCTTTTGAAATGATAGCAGCAAGTCACGATTATACCCTGTCATTTCCTTCACCCAATGTACTTCGATGGCGATTTGATGGCATTTATTTGCCAGGAGGGACAACAGAAGTATTAGAAAGTCACGGATATGTTACCTTTAGCATAGCAACTAAAGACCCATTGGGAGTCAATGAAATTGTTTCTAATCGCGCTGGAATATATTTTGATTATAATGATCCAATCATCACCAATTATGCGATTTCAAGTATGACGGTATCGCAATTTGAAGCGCATCAGCTAAATGGCTTGCAATTGCAAGTTACCCCAAATCCGACAAGTGAGTTTGCAATATTAAACTACACCTTAAATGAAATGTCGGATGGAATTGTAGTTATTACAAATATGCAAGGCTCAATAGTACAAAAACAAGTCATCAGTACTCAAAACATTGGAAACCAATCGGTACTTTTATCACTCGGCGAATTGCCAAATGGTATCTATTTTCTTTCATTGAATATAGGTAAAACAGTAAGCACTGTTAAATTGGTTTTACAACATTAGTCAAATTCTATTCAATGCAAATTTAAAATTCACTTGGGCAGCCGCCTCAAAAAACTGCCATTTTGTTTTCATTCAAACGTGTAGGCATTAGAATCGGCAGTTTTTTGAGGCGCCGGGCTATGCGCTACAATACCTATAAAAAATCGCCTTTTGCTTTCCGGCGAAACTTAGGCTTTCATTAGGCGATTTTTTATAGGTATTTCCGCTTCTATCCCTGCTGCGTGAGGTAAATCTACCTCATCCTAGGCTGCCGACGCTTACCACCACCCATCACACCACCGCCACCGCGATTAGCCATAAAAATATTGGAAGGATTGGCAGCATTTCCTCGGTTTTTCATCGCTTTATCAAACTCTTTGAGCTGATCTTTTATCATTGGTTCGGTGATGTTAAGTTTTTTTGTTTCCGCCAAGTGCTTTTCTGCTTGCGCCCAATTGTTGCGTACAGCAGCTATATTAGCCAATTGGAAATAGGCGGCTGCCTTCTCATTATCCGTAGGAAGTCCTAAAGACAAAGCGGTATTGAGGTGCTTTTCGGTAGTTGTATAATCTTTGCGTTGCATATTGATAGTAGCATGCAACATATAGTAATAGGCGCGATTCATAGAGAAGAGCAGATTAGGGAAGTACGTTTTCTTAAGTTGTTGCTCCGCTTCATCAAATTTTTGGGCTTGTATAAGCATAGCTGATGACTGTACTGTGCCCAATAGCAAGTAACCAACCACCAATATTATGGTAGCCAACAAGAAAGGGAAACTCCACCAAAAACCATACATCCACCACAATACCACGGTGAGTACAAGTCCAAGAGCTATGAGTGCAAAACGCAAATTCAAATTGATAGAGAACATATTATTTTTATCTTTTATTTTGTGATATCTTAAAATTTCCAGTCCAAGCGTAAAGTGTAATTGATAGGTTGTTCCATCCGCGCCGGACGCAGACTATATTCTGCATTGAGTATATTCTTTCCTATGACGTAAACGTTGAGTTGCTTAGAAAGTTGATAGCCAAGGCGCAAATCCCATACATAAGTGCCTTTATTGTTGCGTGCACGGAAGGTCTTTACGCCCGGAAGTTGTTCCTGGAACACGAGGTCTATGGCTCGCATAAAGCTAAAGTAATTGAGATTGGTGCCAATTTTCCACTTTTTCCAAGCATATTCAGCATCAAGCTTTAAGGTGTGACGAAAGCGATACTTGAGAATGTTTGTAGAATCGGAGGAGGTTGATATTTGTTTTTGTCCGAAATCCTTATACTTGGGACTCGTGAAATTGTAGCCGGTTAATATAGTTAATTCTCCCAAACCAATTTTTCCAAAACATTGAAGGGTGGTTTCAATGCCTTTGATTTCGGTATTGCCGACATTTTGGGATTGAAATTCAGCAACAAATTGTAGTGGTGGTCCGAAATTTACAATAATAGTATCAAGCACAAACTCCATCATATCTTTATACTCCGAGTAATAGGCAGCTACATCCCACAGACCTTTCCAATTGCCAAGTTTTAGTCCTTGTTTTATCCCAATTTCAGTTGACCAACCTGTTTCGGAGATAAGTTTAGGATTGGGTTTTACGCGGTTGCCAATACCAAAATCCGTGGTGATAAACTTCTCCGCAATAGTAGGGTAGCGGTAGCCCTGACCAAAGGACGCTCGCAAATAAGTTGCCTGCGCCACTTGATAGTTCAATCCAAGGCGAAACACCGGCTTACCTTCCTTGGTCACACCACCGGGTATGGTATCATTGTCCACGATTTCAGGGCTGTAAAGCGCGTTGCGTTCGTAGCGCAACCCACTTGACAGGTGAAAGCGAGGCGTTATTTTGTGGTCGAGCTGCACATAAGCAGCAATGTTATTGGAGGTATAAGTCGTATCACCGTAAAGTTCTGCCTTAACAGCGGAGTTGCTATAAACTATTCCACCGGTGAAAACGGTTTTGCGGTCGTTCCAATTTTTTTGGAATTGATACTCACTATATATCGATTGCGAGCTGTTGCTTTGGTTGGTAGCCGATTGATTATCAATGGAATAAAACCTACCGAGCAATTTATGGCGGTTACCGGCTTTGTCGTAGATATGTAGATATGGGTCGATGGTATAGCGTATTCTCCTACGGGCTTCCGTGATAGATCCGGCTTGTGGTTGGAGTGCAAGGGCACCATCGCCGCCCCAAATAAAGAAGTTAGCGCCTCTGCCCGTGTTGAAATTGATATTCACGCCGGCAGTTACGCGGTCGTTGAAGCGGTAGCGAAAATTGGGTGAAAAGCGGTAATATCTTTGGTAGGATTGGCGGCTCCAGCTGTCGAGATAGCGCACATTGCCACTCAATACCAGGTCCAACTTACCTTCCTTTCTGCGGTGCACGATGCTTAGTCCGGTTTCAAGTGGCAATTGTATTTCCGAAGTATCGGCTCCCCACCATTTTTGGGAGGCATCTTTGGGCGTGCCAGTGGTATTCGCAAAGAAGCTGACCTCGGTTTCGGGCTTGAGCTTAGCAAATCCGGTGCGCACATTGATGATGCCATTCATGGCCGATGAGCCATACAAAGCCGATGCTGCACCTTTTATGATTTCTACCTGACTGATATTTTCAATGGGGATATCATTCCAATTGGGAAAACCGGCGTCGGCTTGCAATATCGGTATGTCATCTTGAAGTAGTAGCACACGACTGCCTGCTCCGTAAGAGAATCCCGAACCGTTGCGGATATTAGCCTGACCATCTATGATATTGATGCCCGGTACGCGATCGAGCGCGCCATCTAATGCGGAGGAGGCGTTGCTTTCTATGAATTTGGGCTTCATCACCTCGATAGAGACGGTTTCTTCGCCTATCTTCTTCTCGTATTTGCCGGCAGTGACGGTGGTTTGTTGCAGCAGATTGGACTTGTCGGTAAGTTCTATTAGTATTTCAGCCTGCTGACCATCTGTTACAACCAAAGTATGGCTTTTTATTTCATAGCCGATACTGCTTATTTCTAGGGTATAAGTACCAGGCACCACCGAAAGCCTAAATTTGCCCTCAATATCTGTCACAGTGCCCAATTTGTTTACTTGTACACTTGCTCCGGGGAGTGGTTCGTGCGTGTTCACATCCAGCACTTTGCCGGATATATTGGATTGGGCTTTTGCCACTATGCTTATAAAAGCAAGCAAAAACCATAAAAAAGCGTGTTTATTCATAGTGTGTTTTTATTCTTCGTCTGAAAGAGAGCGTTCCATTTCCTCCATCATCACAAAATCTATGGCTTCACTGAGGGTAGGCACTATTACAAGTATCGTATCAAGACGGCTTATTTCTATGAGTTTTTTTACGCTGTTGGAGGTTATGCCAGTCACCACAAATGATCTCCCATCTTTAAAAAGGCGGTTGCCTGTCAATATGGCGCTCAATGCAGCTGAATCAATAAACTTTACGGATGATAGGTCCACTATAAGATTGGAAATACCTTCTTGGCTAAAAAAAATAAAATCGCTCTTCATTTGGGCTGAAAGTAGTGAATTTAGCTTTTCCTCATCATAAGAAACGATCGTATATTTCTCTTGCTTGTCTAATCTGTATTTCATATTGTATTGATTTTCAGTATATTAGTAAATTTAATTGCGCATTTAATTTATTGCTGCGGCAAAAGTAACAAATACTCGTGATGGTTACACCAATTTGAATAAAACATTTTTCTACATTGCGCTAAAATTTATGGAATAGGTGAAAAAACGGGTAGAAACCTATATTTTTGCGAGTACAATATACCTTACCTATTATTTCACTTTTTTCTCCCCATATTCGCACAACTCATCTCTTTTTCTGTACCTTTGCGCCTCCATAAATTGAGTAGAATATAATTAAACAAGTATATTATGAATTTTGACTTGATAGTTCTGGGAAGCGGACCCGGAGGATATGTTGCAGCCATCAGAGCAGCCCAATTGAAAATGAAAGTCGCCATCATCGAACGCGAATCCTTGGGTGGCATCTGCTTGAATTGGGGGTGTATTCCCACCAAAGCGCTATTGAAAAGCGCTCAAGTGTTTGAATATCTGCAACATGCAAGCGATTATGGTATCTCCGTAAAAGGTGGTTCTGCCGATTTTGATGCCATCGTGAAGCGCAGTAGGGGAGTGGCAGATGGCATGAATAAAGGCATCGCATATCTCATGAAAAAGAACAATATCACCGTCATAATGGGTACCGGTAAGCTTGAAAAAGGCGGAAAAGTAGCTGTAACAGATGCTGCTGGAGCCGTTGCGTCATACACAGCACCCCATATCATCGTTGCCACAGGCGGTCGCGCCAAAGAACTCCCCAACATCAAAATTGATGGCAAAAAAGTCATAGAATACCGCAAAGCCATGAGCCTCGAGACTCAACCTAAGCGTATGGTGATTGTTGGAGCAGGTGCTATTGGCGTTGAATTTGGCTATTTTTACAATAGCATTGGTACCGAAGTGACCATCGTGGAATATATGGACCAAGGGCTTGTGCCTCGTGAAGACGCGGACATTTCCAAGGAGTTGACCAAAGTTTTTGCTAAAAAAGGCATCAAAACCCTTGCAGGCACCGGAGTAGAAACCATCGACACTTCCGGAAAGACCATCAAAGTGAACGTGAAAGCCAAGAAAGACGGCGCCACTAGCACCATCGAGTGCGATGTAGTACTGAGTGCAGCAGGCGTCACCCCCAATACCGAGAATATCGGCTTAGAGGAACTAGGCGTCACCACCGATAGAGGCTACATCAAAGTAGATGAATACTGCCGCACCAATGTGCCCGGTATCTATGCCATCGGTGATGTATTGCCTACACCTGCCTTGGCTCACGTAGCTAGTGCCGAAGGCATTTTGTGTGTGGAGCATATTGCAGGTTTGCATGTAACGCCTATCAACTACAACAACATTCCCGGTTGCACCTATTGCTCGCCCGAAGTAGCCTCCGTGGGGTATACCGAACAAGCCGCCAAAGATGCTGGCTATGATATTTTGGTAGGCAAATTCCCGTTCACCGCATCGGGCAAAGCCAAAGCAGCCGGCGCACCGGAAGGCTTCGCTAAGGTTATTTTCGATAAAAAATACGGAGAATGGCTCGGCTGCCACCTCATAGGCTACAACGTTACAGAGATGATAGCCGAAGCCGTTGTAGCACGCAACCTCGAGACCACCGGACATGAGATACTCAAATCTATACACCCGCACCCAACCATCAGTGAAGCCATAATGGAGGCTACCGCTGCTGCTTACGGCGAGGTGATACACTTATAATCTATATCTTCGATGCTTACGGCTATTTCACCTATTGATGGCAGATATGCGTATCAGACCAAAGAATTATCAGCATATTTCTCGGAATATGCTTTAATTCGCTACCGTCTTTTCGTAGAAATTCAATACTTTATAGCCTTATGCCAGTTTGAGTTGCCGCAACTCCAAGATTTCGATTGGGATAAACTCGATGACCTCAATGATATCTTCAATTCGTTTCAGGTCACCGATGCCGAATACATCAAATCCATAGAGCGTACCACCAACCACGATATAAAAGCAGTCGAATATTTCCTCAAGGAGCGTTTTGATAGGCTCGGGCTGCACGACTACCGCGAATTTGTCCACTTCGGGCTCACTTCGCAAGACATCAACAACACCGCCATACCATTGCTTCTCAAAAATGCCGTTGAAGATACCTATCTGCCGCTTTTACAGCAATTTAGGAAGCAGTTGTACGATATGTCGCAGGAGTGGGCACATATACCTATGCTCGCCCGCACGCATGGGCAGCCGGCAAGTCCTACGCGCCTAGGCAAAGAGTTGCGTGTCTTCGTAGAGCGTTTAGATGTGCAGATGGCTATGCTCAAAACCATCCCATACAAGGCAAAATTCGGGGGCGCCACCGGCAATCTCAATGCCCATTTTGCTGCATATCCCGACTACAATTGGCACCTTTTTGCCGACGATTTTGTGCGCGATGGACTAGGTTTGGAGCGCTCGCACCACACCACACAGATAGAGCATTACGATTGTTTGGCGGCGCTTTTTCACAATCTTTCGCGGATAAATACCATTTTGATCGATTTTTGCCGCGATATGTGGCAGTATATATCTATAGAGTACTTCCGCCAAAAGACCGTAGCATCGGAGGTGGGGTCGTCCGCTATGCCCCACAAAGTCAACCCCATCGAATACGAAAATGCCGAAGGCAACCTCGGTGTCGCCAATGCCATTTTTGCGCATCTTGCCGAAAAATTGCCTATCTCACGCCTCCAGCGCGACCTTACCGACAGCACCGTGCTCCGCAATGTGGGCGTGCCATTTGCGCATACTTTGGTGGCGCTCAAATCCTTACAAAAGGGGCTCAACAAGCTGCAACTCAACGAAGGCAAGCTCTCCGAAGACCTCGAAGACAATTGGATGGTCATTGCAGAGGGCATACAGGCTATTTTGCGCCGCGAAAACTTCCCGCAGCCCTACGAAGCCCTCAAGGAGTTCACGCGTGGCAAAACCGATATCGGGCGCGAGTCGCTCCATGCTTTCATTCACCAATTGCCCATCGATGACGAGGTGAAAGAAGAGCTGCTTGCACTCACCCCGCACAATTTTGTAGGTCAGTAGTCCACGCGCGTGCAACCCTTTCACCTTTTTCAAGTCTATTCAACAACATATAAGGTGTACCATTAGGGCAGCCGCCCAAAACCGCCTTTTTATTTATCGCAAACGCAGGGCGATGGAAAGGCGGTTTTAGTTGCCGGGCTATCCGCTGCAATAGCCGCTTGGTGCCTTTTTGGGCTCCGCGTTTGGTCTTACGAGGTAGATAAAAAGCAAAGCAACAGCTTAGTTGTGCGGGTAATTTTGGGAAAAAAGGCACCAAGCGGCTATTTCCGCTACTATCCCTGCTGCGCGCGTGAGGGATAGCAACGGAAATAGCACTTTTAGTGCCTTTTTTCAAATTTAACTACGGGAACTAAGCCATTGCGGTGCAGCATCTCTACTTGAAAAACCTATGCGCGAAGACGAAAAGGCACTATAAGGGCTATTGCAGTGGATAGCCCGACCCAAAACCGGCTGCTACTCCGCCAAAGATTTCTTGGCACCTTAAGCCGGTTTTTGGGGCACGCCATATTTTTAATTGACAATGGATAATTGACAATGGATAATTATTGAGCGAAGCGAACGCTAGATTCGTGAAAATTCGTGCAATTCGTGGCAAAATTCACCACATAGGCACATAGGATACTATACATAGAAACATAGTCTATGTGCACTATGTGAAAAAATCTATGTATCTATGTGGTAAAGAAATTTGTGCAATACATGACAAAAAAATAATTATAAACATTTTAATAATAACTAATTTATGAAAAAGACAATTGTAATGCTAGGCTTGAGCTTAATGATCACATGGAGCAATAGCGCAATCGCACAAAGTGAAGCCTCAGAAACGCGCCAATTGGGCGTGTTTAGTGAAGTGAACATCAGCGGCGGATATGACAAAGTAGTGTTCACGCCGGGGAGCAAAGAAGAGGTGACGGTGACTGCAAAGGGCATCGAAATCGATAAAATATTGACCTATGTGAAAGGCAATGCCCTCAATATCGAGACGAAAAAGGGAGAAAAAGGCTGGAGCAAAGGCGATGAAGTGAAAATATACGTGACGTATAGGGCATTGGAAGAAATCAATAATAGTGGCTCGACCGATATTTTGTTGAAAGGTGCCTTGAAATCGAAGGAACTTGAAGTAAATGCAAGTGGATCGGGTGATATAGAAGGAGAAATAGATGTGGAAATGTTGCAATTGAACATATCGGGTTCGTCGGATATACGACTTTTGGGTAAAGCAAAAGTACAAGAATATAACATTAGTGGCAGTGGAGACGTAGAAGCATCTGCATGCAAAGGCGAAAGCGCCTCGGTAAGCATAAGCGGGTCGGGAGATGTGCAACTCAATGTTTCAGGAGGTGTACGAAGTCGGGTCTCCGGCAGCGGTCATGTGCGCAATAATAATTAAGGAAATTATTTTCTTGGTTGAATGAGAAAAAGTGCTCAGAAATTTGAAATTGAAACAAGGAATGAATTAATTTTGCGCCATCAAATATCTGATTAATTAAAGTTGATATCAAAATGGACGAAATACAAAATGCAGGTGGGAAAAGTTATTGCCTGATATATCTTTTCATGTTTCTTTTCTTCTTTGGAGCCTTAGTGTACATGTTGTACTCAAGGAGTTCTGTTTTAGATTTTACGCACTAATTTTTTTGCGCAATTTGTAGGAGACAGCTCCCTGACACATATCTCTGATTATCAGGATTTTAAACCGACAATTTTACATACACCAAATTGAGTATGTAAAATTGTCGGTTTTTTTTTACCTAAATTTAGTTAAATATTTGCGTGTTATACTTATTTGTACTTACATTTGCAGCATATTTATGTGAAATACTAAATATTCATTTTTTTTGGCATTTAATTTGATAGTTACGTTTCACAACGATATTCTCAAAGCATTTTAATCTTCTAAATTTATCTTACCATGCTCAAACTTGGACACTCTCTTAAGTTCACTCAGAAGCTATCTCCTCAGCAGATACAACTCATGAAGCTTCTGCAATATCCTACCACTTCATTTGAAGGGCGGATAGAGGAGGAACTTGAAGCCAACTTCGCTCTTGAAAAATCTGACGACACTGCCGACCTTGATGAAGAAAATTACGATACTAGTTTTGATAAGATTGCGAATGACAGCAGCGATGAAGGTGGCGAAAGTGCATCAGATGCAGAAGGTGGCGATGATTTTGGTGACATGGAAGGAGAAGGTCTGGATGCGGGCGACATGGAATACGATGATTTGGCAGCGATATCGGATCATTCTATGGGTGAAATGGATGATTATGTGCGCGATTACATGGAAGATGACCCTTCAGTATATAATTATAACAGCGAAAGTGCCAACAGTGACGATGATGGTCGCACTACGCCGGTAGTGATGGAAAGTAGTTTTCATGAGCATTTGGAGACTCAGCTTGGGTTGATTTCTTTTGCCGACGAGCGTTCTAAAATCATTGCGCAACAAATCATTGGCTCCATAGACGATGATGGATATCTTCGCAGAGATTTGGATGCTATGGTGGATGACCTCGTGTTTAGCCAAAATATAGTGACTACCGAAAAGGAAATCGTAGAGCTTTTGGGTGTGGTACAACGTTTTGACCCACCGGGAGTGGGTGCCCGCAATTTGCAAGAGTGTTTGCTCATACAATTGCGCCAAAAACTTGAAATGCCCGATGATGTAATAGGTTATGAAGATAAGCTGGTTATCAAGTTGGCGATACAGGTTATTCAGAATTACTTTGATGAATATACGAAAAAGCATTTCACCCGCTTGGTGCGTCAGCTCGATTTGCACGATGAGGAGGAGCTCCGCGATGCTGATGAGCAAATCCGTAAATTGAATCCGAAGCCGGCAAGTGGCTTTGTGACTAGAGGGGAGCAAGCTTTCAATTATATCGTCCCAGATTTCTTTATCAACAACAACAATGGTGAGCTTGAGTTGAGTTTGAATAGCAGAAATACGCCTGAATTGCGGGTGAATGACTACTATCGCGATATGCTTAAGTCATTGAGTAAGCGTAAATCGGGCAAAGACAGTGAGAAAAAGGACAAAGATGCCTTCCTTTTCATTAAAAACAAGATAGATAGTGCCAAGTGGTTTATCGATGCCATCAAACAGCGTCAGCAAACCCTTTTACATACCATGAATGCCATCATGATATATCAGTACGAATTTTTCGTGAGTGGCGACCAAAAACGCATCAAGCCGATGATATTGAAAGATATCGCCGACCTTACCGGTTTGGATATCAGCACCATATCTCGTGTGGCTAATAGCAAATACGTGCAAACGGAGTTTGGCACACGCAGGTTGAAGGATTTCTTCTCAGAAAGCCTTTCTACCGAAGATGGCGAAGAAGTTTCTACCATTGAGGTGAAAGATATCCTTTCAGAAATTGTGAGTGCCGAGAATAAACGCCGTCCACTTTCCGATGAGAAATTGCGCACGATGTTGCATAAGCGTGGTTACAATATTGCACGCCGCACGGTAGCTAAGTACCGCGAGCAGCTCAACATCAATGTGGCGCGTTTGCGTAGGGAGTTGGGGTAAAAGATCCGAAATCCGAACGCGGATGAGACGGGTTAGACGGATTTGCCACGGATTTTTGTTTTTTCTACGCTTCGCTTGAAAAAACGGATTTGCCACGGATTTTCTTTTTTTCTACGCTTCGCTTGAAAAAACGGATTTGCCACGGATTTTCTTTTTTTCTACGCTTCGCTTGAAAAAACGGATTTGCCACGGATTTTTGTTTGCTTCACAAATCTTTTGCGGAAAAGAACGTATTTTTAAAAAATAAAAAGCATCCATCAGTCGTATGACTAATGGATGCTTTTGTTGTTATGCTTGGGAGCACTTAGTAGGCCGTTTCTAGTATTACTGCAAAATGTACCCGATTCTGAATCCGATTTCATAAAGAAATCCCTTTGTTGTGTATTCAACTATACCATTTCTATAGAAGTCTCCTTGTATGTTTGTACCAACATCCAATCTATTGATGACAGAACTTCTCGCTCCAAGTCCGACAAAAGCATCAAAAGTGATATCATTTTCTGAAATATATTGACGACCAAATCTTAGGGAGAAATCACGTCTGGCTTCGCTTTCCTCTGCAAAATCGGAAGTGCTATAGGTGAAATTATAGCCATCTGTATTGTTTTCGACTACTTTTGGGGTATCATATCTCCTTTTGCTAAATGTGAAACTTGGGGATAGATAATAACCTTCCATAGCTTCGCCGGTATAATAAATGCGTGGACTTAGGTTGAATCCTAAACCGATTTTTTGTTTTATGGTTTCATTGGTATTTTCTGTGTCTAGGAAATTATGAACATCTGCGGGATATGCCCAATTTGTGCTATAGGGATTACCGCTAAAAGGATCAGTATCGTCGTTGATACTTGCAAATAAAGCATTACTATAATTTCTCGGCAACACAGTAGAAAAATTAATAGCGATTCCTCCATTAATAGATATCATGTCGTTTATCTTGTATTCAACTTCCATTGGGAAATTGCCCACTAGCCAAGCGGAAGGACTGATTTTGAAAATGATTGGGTGGGTGCGTTGCTCTTCGGCATTTTTTCGTTCAGATTCATCGGCGAGAATAACAATGACATCATCTGCATTAGATTTTTTCTTTTTAGTTTTTTGAGCTTGTGCGGGTAAGGCAATTAAGCATGCGAGGCACAAGAATAGTAGAACATGGAGTTTACTTTGCATTTTGTGAAATATTATAGGTGAATAAAAAGTTTGAGCGCAAATGTAAAAAGATTTTTCATTTCACAATGGCAAAAAGAAAAAAAACTATTCTACCTTTGTAGCTCAAACTAATCAACTGTATATCTCAAGCAATCACATGATTGCAAAAGATTATATGGAATTCGCTATTAAAAAATCTACAAAATGAAGTTGAAACCATTCCTAATTATTGCGCTCAGTTGTCTATTTACTGCCTTCCTCAATGGGCAGAAATCTGAAATTAAAATCAGCGAAAAACTTAAAAAAA